TGGTTTCTTGTGAGGGGTGACAAGGTCACATTCACATAAAAATACATTTCCCATGAGCTGACTGAAATGCAGTTGTAAGTTACATGAAAAGAAAAACATTGAAATATTAAACGTCTCACAAAAAAATAAAAATACATGTTACCCAAAAATATGCTACAGAATACCCACAGATATGGAATTGGTATTAATTTTGAGAGGGGTAAAATGGTTAACCACACCTGTCAGTTATTTATACCGATCTGACACATTGTCAATTTAAAAAAAAAAAGTAAATACGTAACTGTATATATTCCTTTTTTATTATTTATTTATTTAGTGTTACTTTGACATCATTGGTTGTATTGCCCATTGGCTCTGTTTTAGTGTTTATATTTCAATATAATTTAAATATTTGAATATCTGTTATTGAATATCTGTATATTTTCTGCATTCTGTAGTGTGGAGGGGGCTACAGCTGCATTTTATTGGGCAATTCTGTATTGTATTAAATGTATCAAATAATACATTGTGCCTTGAATATACTATATCCTATACATCAAGATGATTAAATCTATACCAGCAATCCACCTGGGTATAGCAGTCAGTCAGTATAACAGTAAGTTAAGACTTACAGTAAGCTATGCAGCAGATGATTTATGGATGTATGCGTATTGCAATTCCAAGGTCCATGGCTCTGCAACAGACAAACTCTCTTATCAAGCACAGCACTGGTGAGCTGCAGTTGACCATCAGTTTCTGAGTTGAGGCCAGCAAGTGAGGCAGCTGTACAGTTAGGAGCTAAGCCACAGGGGTAAAACAGGATCTTAGCCTTTTAGGACTAATTACAGTACTGGTATGGAGAACAGGAAGCTGTCACATGACTCAGTATTTTGAGTCAGTGGAGGAATGTGAATGATGACATTCACAGTCATGTTTTGTTTCCCTTAAACCAAATATAAATATAAAGCCCACATACAAACACTACACTCTACTAGATACGAGTTTGCAGTGAACAAACAGACCCAAGCCCAGTACCACAACCAACCAATACCAAAGGCATTGTATTTCATAAACCCAACAACAAACAACCAAAGCAGAATAAGCTCAGTCAACCACATGAAATTAATTCACAACAAATAATATCTGCTCATTGGCAGACTGACAGCAGCATGCTAACAACAAAGCTTGGCTGCAGTTCCACAGGAAGATCTGTAGGAGCAATAACACCCTGCAATGATTAATCTGTGGTCAAACCAACACTATTAAACTATTAGTCCACAGTCCGCAGGGTCAGCAGCCTCATAGCTTATTTACTTAGTATTCGTAAAACCCTGAGTACAGCAATGCTGGTACTTATAAACAACTACATAACTGCGTCTCTGTGTTCACACACAGCTAGCCTGACGCTGAGAAAACAGCACTGAAAATGTCCTTGTTAAAAAGGATAAAAAATGTCAAAAGAATTTGGTTTAGGGTTATGTTATATTGTGTTAGGGTTAGGGTTGTATTGAATATTGCCTGTGGCAATATGATATAGCATAGTATTTTAATCATTAAGATTAATAACACACTGGGATAGTACTCATAATGATACCATACTTCTCAAGTGCTGCTGTTAGGCTGAAAATTGTATTTAATCTATTTTGTTAATATAAAATACATTGGAACTAATACATTGTATTAGTGTCCATACTCTAAATGGGCAGGGCTTAAACCAGATGTGAATGGTGCTTAAACGTAAATGGAAGGTGCTAACTGGATGTTGTTAATTTAAGCCTGAAATTGATATGGGTTGATCAGAAGTTGCTATATTTATTAGACAACTATTTACAGAATTGAGCTTCAGAGCAATGTTTTTAATCACAAAAGTTACAGAACTATTTCCACAACAAGCTGTTTTTAAGTTGCTACATTTATGAGAATGAATATTGACACACTTTACTTGTTTGGTACTCGTACTCGCAAAAAGTATCATCTGTACCGAATACTTGTTTCAGCTGAGTACTCGCTCGACCCTAATCAAACACTATATGAGTGCAACGGCAAGCCACCGTAAGGTGGAAGTAATTGTGCGTCAGTCAGTACTAATATGACAGAACCTCTCTGCGTGATTCAACTACTCCCAGGAGGTGGCTTCAAAAATGGAGATTAAAAAATGTAAATGTTATACAAGCTTTACATGTAACAGAAACAGACCCACAAATGTCTCCAAACAACCTCCTTACAGTTTTCATTCTTTGGTCTTGGAAAGGATATAAAATCAAGTTAAAAAGTCACAAGCTATTACTATTAAAGTCAAAGTCAAGTTGAAGGCCTTTTTGATTTTGTCGAGTCAAGTCCACAGTCGTTAGATTAATGACATGAGTCTGACTCTAGTCCCACCTCTTCAGGAGTCAGAAAAAGATAATGACAAGCTCAAATGGAGATTGAGTACGTTGGAATACAGAATGTGTCCGTACCATACATACAATTTGAAGAGCGGAAATACATATACAAAGGCCTGTAATGCATGGCTGCCATTCTTACCTTCCCTAATACAGGTGTAGCTCTGGCTGAGGATGGTCTGCAACAAAGAAGACAACAATGCATATTTAAGAAACTAATTATTAAGTCGAATTGAGAGTAACAGTCATACTTGTATGCCTCACCACTTCTTATACATGTAGAACATTAAAAACACAACAACAGCGTCACAGCCTAGCTCACCCCAAGGCGGGGCCAAGGCAACGTGAGTGTGGAGCTAAGAGCCACCTTGTATGATTTCCAAGGCAGCAGCAGGCAGAAGAGAAATGTATACCTACCAAAATTCTCAATCAGAGCCAGCTCCATTAGGGCTGGGAGACAGATGGATGAGGCAGAGAGGGAGAGAGAGAGAGGGCAGTCTCCACACATTGCTTCGCTGTCAGACACAATGGAGCTGTCAAACACAATCCTCCACTGCAACGAAGGTTTTCATGTCCTGGACCTCCCAAACCGACCCACTCTCTCTCTCCATTATATAAGGTTTTGTTCACAAGGCCAACATATGGCAACATTTCTCTTGTTACTGATTTTAGTTTTAAATGAACTGAATGAAGAACGTGATCCATTTTGATTTTCTTTTCTCTTTTACATATTAAATCGGGTGTTTTCCCTCCACTGATTCTAAAATTGATTAATTTGAGAACCAGGAGTGATGGAGTGATAACACATGCCCTAAAATCTTTTAAGGGCCTTCAGACTGGTCTGATTAAAATGAAAGATAATTCTTAGCAGTTGCTGCCTGTATCAAGCAATTGAGCTTACTATACCAATACACTTTAGACAAGAGATTGAAAGGTGCTAATTCAGTTTAGCGATTCAGTCACTAACTATATAGTTTGTTCTCTTTATAACACTGTGACAGTATATAGCTGTGTCAGTTCAGTAGTAACAGTTTAGTTTTTGCTGGTTCAAACTGTTTTGTTCAGTTCAATACAAAGGTAGGTCTCTACAACCACAACCATAAGGCTGATAGCTCAGTAACGACTCCTGACGAATATGATGATGAAAATGGCATCAGATATAGGTCATATTACAAGCACGATAAAACTCATGCTCAAAGGGCCCTGATAGCTCAGCTGGTAGAGCTGAGCTATCTGTGGCCCTTGGCTGCGTGTCATCCATTAAAGGCAATAAAAAAAATAACAAATAAAAACTCAAGGTCATGAGGAAATTATGAACTTGAGTTTAACACCTGCAGATATTAACTGCCACTTGCACAATATAAGTCCTTGTGCTCAAATTTAACAACTGAGAGCTGTACAGGCACCTGAGAGCTACAAACAAAACAAAGTTAGAGGCAAATAATGGTACCTGTGTGTATACAACTAATCAGCAACCAAGGCAGCCACCATGCACAAGAGACTTCATGCTCGGCGAGCGCTCACAGGAATTACTCTGCTCTCAAAGTTGAGTTCTGGTTGCACAAATCGACCGAGAAAGGCATTGGCCCTCTTATGATTGGTTCATTTCAATCCAATCACATCCACACAGACCTTCTTGTACCTTGACTGACAGCTTCTGTTAACTGAAAATCAGGCAGACACTTGGCTAGAGACATAAATCTGAAGCCCTAAAGGACAATGACAACGTTCTTCAGCTTGCCTAACGTTATCTGAACTTTCAGGCAGCATCTGAAACACTGCAAACACTTGAACTACTAATCCTAGCTCTTGTGCACCTGAGCTATGGTGTGGCCATAGCATACCTGTAGCATCTACAAAACTATAAATCAGCCAAAATGGAATAACGAAGTTTCTTGTGGTTTTAAAACCACAAAAAAGCTCCAAACTCCAATGCACAAAGCTACCGATACTGATATTGAACACCTCTTATTTAGTGCAAGCTAAGAGTGCTCCAACCAGGGTTTTTGAGGCTGATCACCCATCATCACTATAAGAAGTATCTGTGATTATTATTTACTATTCTCACATTTTGGATTTCTTTACCCGTGATTCCGTTTTCAAGGTGATCCATGTGTGGAGGAGGCTTGTTAATGATGTAAATGATGATCGAAAACCTGGTCTGTGCTTGTAAAACATCCACCAGATAATGTCTCTCTCTCTGTTTCTCTGCAAAATGCTAAAATGAGTAGCTGACCATTAACATACCAGGCAGCCTGCCCAAGTAAATCTATGCATGACATAGATAAGACAGAATAACTTTTCTGAGGAATAAAAGAAATCTATCTGCTAATTGGCTCTTCTGACTGGCGACAATCAAACTAATTAGAGTGAATATCAGCCAATAACATTCAACATTCAGCATTCAATCACAGCACCCTTAGTGCAAGCTGTGCAAGTTACAGGGTTTTAAATTAATGTAAGGTGGTTTCCCAACTACTTAATAATTGGTGATTATCAAAAGTAGTATTTGCACCAGGTCTGTAAACCACATGGGGAAACAAAGAAGGACTGTTACAATGATGTCTGTGCGCCAGTGCCACTGACAGCTCTAGTATTTGTTTTATTCAGTAAATAGTGATTATAATTCAATATAACGCACTCACCTTGAACTGCAGTTACTGGCACTGACACTAGCGTGGATGCCAGCATTGACATTGGGGTTAGTGACAGAACTTGGGTTAGCTGTAGCATTGGTCTCAGCTATGGCCTGACTGCAGATCCATTTGGTCTCGTCCACCACTGTTCGAGCATGAGGCAGACGGCCCACATCCCTCACCTTCATCAGCAGGTGGCGTCCTGTTTTGAGGATGTGAACAGCCTCATCGTGGGAGATGGTGACAAAACTCTGACCGTTTACTTCCAGGATCTGGTCACCCACCTATAAAAGACCAATTTCATTAAAAAGAAGCGCTACATACTCATCTTCCTTATGTAGACCTGCTGTGGACAGACATGGAAATTAGGGTAGGGCTCTGCGATTACCTTTATTCCCTCAGTGGAGGGATAGTGTTATTTATTCATTGTTTACTTAAGTGTGTTTTTGCTTCCTTCCTTTTTAGGAAGTTGTTTTGAGTTTTCGTTAGATAAAATAGTTTAACAAGTGCAAGTATTTCTGTTTCCTGCTTTTCTTTAAACGCCGGGTCATTTATTTATTATATTAATTGTTGCTCCCCTTCTTCCCCTGGACACCACAATTGGGGACGTAACAATGTGTTTTATATCCAAAGATCTTTTAAAAAGTAACATGTAGCCTAAAATGATATACGATGTTAACAGTCCATCAGTATAAATAGCCCTGACTCATTGCTAAGTGTGATGTAGGAGGCCTCCTTCTCGGTGGGTTCTTTAACCTGTAAACCATGCTCCCTGTGGTTAACTTTATACAGAAAAACATTAGATGTGTTCTTTCATTGTAGAATAGCATCCTGTACCTTCCTTTAAGAAAGTGCCAGACATATGGCCAAAACAGTGAATCACATACAAAATGGTGTATCCATTTACAGGTGGAGTTGAAACACCTGGACACTGAAATAAGGCACTGACCCTCACAAATTTGACTTATTTGGGGACTTAAGTCAGGCCATTTGTCCACATCTGAAGAGGCCCTGTGGGACTACTGCTGAGTCAGCATACTTGTTGGCTGGAAGGAGATGATGAAACATGTCCTGTATCCATTACCTCAGGTTAGTTAGAGTGTTATCACTGTTTGGGAATTTACTGCTAAACTAATTAAAAACCACAAGTGTCTCTAGTAGTCACCCTCCGCTCAAAAATCCAGTTTGGAATCAACAAGTCAGTCCTGGTCCAGTATGCAACTTGTAAAGTGTGATGTAGAAACTTGAAGTCACCAGTGCACATCCACTGAGAATGGACTTTACAGTGAAGTAGGAGACATCTTGTGTCCACTTTAGAAATGAACAACATTTGCATATTCAGAGATTCTGGAAGTTTTAATGAGGTAGAAGTATAAGATTACTTTTTAAGGATTTTAATGTGGAAATTATACTGTTTTTGTGAGAATACTATCAGACCCACATTATTGTTCCAAACAGTCTATTTATATTGTGTCCTAATACACGTCTGGAGGGGGTCTTTAAGCAACATCTCTTTTCAGAAACACCGTCTCTGTCACTCTGGGTGATAAACAGACCAAACGATCAGCTTTTCTTAATCAAACTTTTTCTTTGGCAGAAGGTTGTTCCACTGAAAACACAGTGAGGTCCCTTAAACAGAATATATTTGCTGGTATTTTTGTAAGCCCCTGGAGCATTACGTTATAAAGTTAGGTACCAGGAACTAGAACCTGTTTTTTCTTTTTGTCAAGGGGCAAAAAAATCATGGAAAATCCAGGCCAAAAGTAGTAAACTAGGTCCACCACTATCACAGCAGCACAACACAGAGACAAACACACATAAACTCACTGAGTGTATCTCTGCCTTCTCTCTGAGGTTATGTGAGAACCACTATGCGTGCCATGCATCCCAATCCCTGATTCAGACAATACTTTTTTCACTGTCACAACCTCGGGCCACAGATTTAATACCAAACAAGTGGTACAAGTTCCAAACCCAAGGTCGCCCCAACTTTCCCAACTCGTTGAGTTGTCCGGAGGTATGGACATATGCATAAACACTAATGGTGCACAGTAGCTAATTATCTTTCTTTACACAGCCAGACAATAGGTGATTCTCTGGTTGCTCTCAACACAATTAGTGTTGAGACAGCACAGCCAGAGGAGAATATCACAGATAAGACAATGCGACGAACGTTCATTCATTGACAGACTGTAAGAGAAGAAAAGCAATCAGTGATCACTGCTCTGCATGCAGTCTGAGACAAAACACTCATGTCTCTTTCATAATCGGTGTCACTCTTCTATTTCATAATGTATAATTTTGGTCTCAATGTGACAGATGATTATCTTGGTCAAGTTTAAGTAGAGGATTGTTCAAGGCCAAATGGTTTTTAAAACTGTATGTAGTGGGGTAATTCCTATATAAATACATTTCAATAAGACTAAGCCATACTAGCAGCTCTGTGAGGCTGTATTTAGATAGATTTGAGCTTAATGCTACATGCCCACAGTGACAATGCTGGCATGCTGACATTTAGCAGGTATAATGTTAACTCTCTCAGTTTAGCATGCTAACATTTGCTAATTAGCTCTAAACACATAGTAGCCCACAGGTGAGGCTGACAGGAATGTTGCAGATATCTGGTAATAAATGTCAGGACATCAGCAAAGTTCTTACAATTCATTCAGGGAAAATATTAAAATGTATTATGTTCCTCTAAGATCCTAGTGAGCCGCTGATGTTTCTTAGAGAATAATCCCTTTTCATGTTGAACAACTCATTAGCTTTTCTCTAGCACCATTCCATCGTACAAAATGTCTCCTTATCAGTATTCAGTTTGCCATGGACCTTGCTTAGCACATTGATGTTCTCAAGGGGATGTACACTTTTGAATTTAATTTAAGCATCCTCAGAAAAAACAGGAGGCATATGCTTCAAATTAAGTGCTTGCTGGATTGTCAAACAACATCTGAAATCCCTCTTTACTCACCTTTCCAATAGCAGAATTGGGGTGAAAAAGTAAGTGAGTTTAAATTTCTCAGTAAAGTTCTCTTATATCATTCTTCACACTACTACTTGTGCCAATTTCCATTAGAAGCAAGTACAATACCATGAACACCTTTAAAGAACACTGTCTCCCCAATCATTGAATATGGCCATTCGAAATAGGTATCAACAGTTTTTCTTTTGAATACAACTAGTTATTTTTTGGGTATGCTGAGCCCTTGGGCAAAAATGACGTTGTTTGATATGTCCACCATTTTGTATTTTTGACTGTAACCAAAATTGTAGCTTAAAGCGGGCACTATCAAGGCTTTCAAGTTTAGCACCTTATTTGGCTGGCAAATTCTTACAATATTTACATGTAGCATCGTACTATTTAAAGGGAGACTCATACAATATAGTATTGAACTTGCACGAGAGACGCTTTAAAAAGAACAATTAAAACCAGATATCGTGATTTAAAGTCGCTAGTTTTTGTCAAGCTCTAAAACTACTGAATCCTACATTTCTTATATGGTAACCAATACTATCTTGTAACACATCATCAAGATTATTTTCTTGGACTAGATAAAACTCCTCCAGAGTCACAAAGAATACATTATACAGAAATCCTTATTACTAGTAAACTGGCTTTTATGTGTTAAATTGGTGCCCCACTGAAAAAGGATTGGATGCTCCAGGGAAAAACACAGCAAATATTTTTCTGCAAGCACAGTGATACATTTTTGTTTATAATGGTGGTAAACTATTACTCGGGGTCTTATATGAATAGAGGTCATAGCTTAGCTAATTTGTATTCCTGCCTGCATCACTAATGGTGACCTTGTTTATCTGATACATAATACTGTTTATGTCCTGTAAAGATGATTATTTGAGGATACAATGATCATATCTCCCTGAGGCAATTTAGCTAAATGAAATAAACCAGGTTTGGCAATAGAGAGTTGTCTTGTATCAGTTAGTGGTCAACAGAATTTATGTTGGACATAATAAATGCATAATTGTGCCTGTTTATAAAGACGGAGTCAGAGAAGGATGCAGCAGTTCACAAGGGATTGCTGAAAGCAGCAGAAAAACAGCTTCCACTGTATTACAGCAGGACAAGTAGAGGCAGAAATTAGTTATTGACTTTTTTCCTTCTCACCTCCCTGCACCACCATGATTATGTGAAGCAAATGCAGCTTCACTGAAACTCCATAACTGAGCCCTCGGAGGATGAGAGAAACCTTGATTTATATATTTTGTTCATGATTTTTCACAAACAGGGACATGCATGTAAAATACAGTCTATAAGGGCTGAAGTCATTGTCCCTTTAGCATTTTGGCAAAAATTTGCTTCTCTACAAACAATATTATGAACTCGGAGAGCACAGACTTGTTAAAAAGACAACCAAATGTTGAAGATCGTAAAAACCAGCTAGCTATTTTACATCAATCGTTTGTTAGCTAGTTCTAACATTAACTGACTTGAAATGTGATTGTATAGGTTATCTTTTAACCATCTTCAAAA